ACAGAACGCAGCGCACTCACTGCCGGTCCAACACCAACAGATCTAAAGGCAAACAAGCAGCCGGTGATAAATATGGGCTGTAGGAATCTCATTAGGAGAAATCTGTCGGCAGCGAATGTGAGAATAAAGGTGGCAGATTTATGGAGGAGCGGTTACAGCTTCACAGTCTGTTAATGAGGTCTTGTTTTCTTTTTCAGAGATCTCTGTCAACACAGCAAACACTTCAGCTGCCACTTCATTCCTGCCTTCAGACATCCTCTCTGTTGGCTGGTATTTCCATCAAGTCCAGACAGTATCGATAGGTGCTAATGAAGAATTCATCCTACATTCACATCACGCTTAAATTCCCAACGTTACATGCTTCTGATCACATTTCTGATGAAGAACTGTTCCCCTTCAGACATAATAAGTCAAAATATTGATGCCTCATCTTTGCAGGACTCAGTATCTCCAGCTGTTAATTAAAGCCAAACATTTTAGCTCTTTACAACATTTTTTCTTTTGGTTTAAATCAATTCAAACCTTTGGAAATAACTCCATAAAGAAATATCCAACTGTGAAATAAAAAGTTGTTATCTAATGATTCATGAATTGATCTTAAGCCCACAAATAGACGGGCATCTGAAGATGATCCACACATAGCAGCAAGCCCACCATCTTCAATACTGTGTTGTGACTTAAAGCAGAGTAAGGATTGAAACCCCTATATTGGTGCAGAATAATTTCAACCTTGCAATCAACGCAAAATACGAATCAGAGTCTGATTCGACAGAAAATCTTGTTGGACGAGGTTGTGGCATTTAGCGCTTTTTGAAAGTCAATGGGGATGATCGCACAGACACGATTTTCTGCAGGAGAACTGCGATGCACCCCAAGTCTATTTTAGTCGTGCTACGCAACAATTCAGCGGCTATTTCATTGGTCTGATAGGAAGAGAGACACAAGTACAAAGTAAAACACATCTGCTTTTGGGAAATTGTTTTGATTTGTGTGGCACGGAGACAGAGGAGAGAAAAATCTGTACAGATCTGTTCACCCTGCCTAGTCAGAGCCTCTTATATGAAATCAGTGTGACATGAAAAAAATCGTATTGGAGATTAAAAAGTCGTGCGCAACCGATGTGTTCAGGCCTTATGGGGTAATCAGCTTTCATCTACAGTAAAACCGAGTTGGTTTGAATATCCCTTTCCCCTAATAGTTCAAATTATCACTGGGAAAGTCCATTCCTCTATGATAGTTTGATCTGAAACATTAACCCTCTTTCTAAAAAGTTATATACATAAAAAATTAGTTACTCCATAAATTGGCTTTATTGGCTAAAATTAGCCTCAGTATCGTTAAAGGCTGTTGCTCTGTGGTGCCTCACTATCCAAACCATACACTGAAAAGCTTTTGTTTTGTCTGCTTTTATTGTGTCATTACATTTAAGTAACCTTTTCTACACACAGAGGCTTTACGTGGTTCTGCTTAAGAATCAGCAGCTGTTTCACCTGACCTGTTTTCCCGAAAGTTCTGGGTCACCTAAATTCCTGCCAGGAAATCAGGACACAGCGTTTATTCTTTCCCTCCGTTTGTGTAGATGAACAAAGCATGTTTTTGTGTCTATTTAGAGTAAATATGTCACCATCTTTATGGCACATAAAGTTATTTTTTTACTGAGCTTTTCTCTGATCAAGGACCAATTTTAATGGAGAACAAAAAAAACTGTTGAAAATTCTGAATTGCTTTTTCTGCCTCGTTTTTTCTTTTTTTTTTTTTGGACAAGGTTTATCCTTAAAGAATACTGAATCTTAATGAATATATGAGTCTCTCTCTAATTATCACTGCAGCAACTGTTATTCTTTGGCTGTTTATCTGTTTGAAAATCAAACATTAGGAAACTTCTATAGAATGTTATTTCAGTCACTAAATTCCTTCCAGCTTCATCTATGAACCATTTTCAGCCAGGAGCGGATTTTTACTTTGAACTTATCCCAAAGTTAAGAAACAAAAACATCAGCAGTTTACCGAATGTTTACTTCTGCAACCTCTTTTCAGACACTTTCAAGGTTTTGTTGATGATTTATCTGAATATCTAATTTTTTGGGCGATTTATCTACAATGAAGCGTTGGGATATTCCTTTGAAAGGTGGTATAAATCATCAATCATTCAGAGAGCATTAAATCGAACTGTGGCGCTTCCTGTGGTTGGAGGCGATTCTGATCCTTCTGTAACCTGTAGATCTGTTGTTAGTCAGTGGGGCAAAAGAAGGGAACCATTGGTCCGTTAAAGAATACTGAAATGAGACATAACTGAATCTAGGCACAAATTTTGAGGATGAATGAGAAAATATTCTGAGGTTCTGCCACCTGGAGAACCATCATTTGGTGGTCCTTTCTTCAATCTATTCATTTCCCAAAAGGAAGCTAGAATGGTAGAATTATTTCTTTCTTCTTTCTTTGTTTCTGTTCATTTCTAACAGATCACTTTCCCTTCTTCTATCTCTATCCTTTTATGAATGTTTTTTTTTTTTTTTTCCCAGACAGAGCCTCATTTTGACCTACTTTACAGTTACGTTCTCTAGCACAAAAACCTGGTTATATTTTCTTCATGTTTCAGAGTTTGATAGATGTTTTAGAATCACGAGTCAATGTCTTGCTTAAAGTCGTAGGGAAGCGGCTGTTCGAGTGAGTGAATAGAGTGAATGTGATTGGTCGTTTATCAAGGAGGCGGGATTGTTGTGGCGGAAGGTTCGCAAGCACATTTGTTTGTGGCCGGTTTGGTTCGGAAGCATCTTGCTAACCAGTTAGCAACTTAGTGCTAGCAGGTTCCCAATGGGAAATTCCATTGGGACCAAGTAGCACTAAATTGGTGACTTAGAAACGACACTGTCAAGGAACGCTATGGACAGAGGAAACATGCAAGAGTAGGAGAGTTTAGTGTCGGAGGTCGTGGATGAGTCTCCTCTGTCATCCATTTTTTTTATTTAGAGGAGGAAAGCGGGGATGAAGATGTTGTGGAAGAGGACGCCAGGGCGGCAGAAGCTTGGTTTGGTGTAGAAGGCTTACAGCCGTACATGTTTGAGCCCTTGCCTCTCAATGCTGCCAGTTCTGTTAGCTCTACGCCTGCTGAAGACACAGACGTCCATCCCCGTGAACACTCGGACGGAACTCAATGGGAAAGGAAATGATTCTGATTTCTTATTCAAACTGTTGCATATATTAGCTGCGACATATGAATGAAGATGCTATGAACGAAAAAATGTGATTGACAGATGACCGTTGATATATGATTGGCCGAATTTAGGTTTTCCGACTGACGTACAGTATACCTGGCCTGCATAAGATGACGGAAAAAAAAACACAGATTTTAAGATCATCTGATAAAGATAAAAAGTAAATTTATATACATGTTTAAGCCAGAATGATTTGACATTTAAATACGATTTCCATATGACTTTAGGCTGAGTTTCTCCTGGACAAAATCTTTTCTAGAGCTATGATTACCTTCCTGGGCTATTCCTTAAACTGCCATCCTTTCTGCTGCCAGAATTCGTCCAAATCAGAACATTGGGGTAGAAATTAACTCTGAAATCAGCCCAGATAGTGAGCTAGTACTGGTCTCTAAATCACTATCTACCACTATATTTACAAAAATAAAACTAAAGCTGCTGAATATGCTGAAAGCAGGTGCTGATATTACCAACCATTGAAGGAAAAGGATTTAAATCTAAAGTCGTGTCAAACTGTTTAAGTTCTTTACTTCAGTAAAATTACAGATACCTGTGTAAGTAAAATTCTAAAACTACAGGTTCTACATCGTACTTGAGTACTAAAGGGAAAAGTTTCTGCCTAAAATGATACAAAAATCTCAGCTCTTAAACAAGAGTTTTATTCACAGAAAATAGATTAAATTTTCTATTTGGGGCATTGTGTTAGTAGCGAGAACATAAAAAGTACAAAGAAGGTCTAATTTTGTTCTATATATACAAACGGAACTTAAGCCCTGCATGAGAAGCTTTATACTTTTAGAAGAATAAAAAGAAGAAAAAAAAATCTATTTTTAATAGTATACAACATACATGGCAATGAAAGTGGACTTCTGCATTCAAACCATCCCTTAGATTGGAAGGGGGAGGTCTGAGTGCCGGGGGACAATATAGGGGACAAAGATCTTGCTAGGGAACCCAGAGGGGATGTTAGAACCAGGTATTTACAACCTTCTGAGATAGTCGTACTGACCACCTAGTACTTATTCGTAGTTACTGGACACCTCTGTAAGTAAAATACCTGAAACATGGACCTCTGCTTTCAGTGTTGAAGAGACACTTTCTCCAGGAGGCCATTTTTCTAGAACATTTCTGTTGCTGGTCAATGTTCCTTTGGTGGCTACATTAGCCAGCCTTACAGGAGATTTATAACTGGGAGAATGATGCAAACCTCCTTTGATTTTACTTTGATTTCTTTTGTGTTTGTTTTGGAAGTATTCACCCCCTCATTTATTTCCTGTTTATTGGCTTCAAATGGTTATTGGTTTATTTTTCTTAATCAATCTAAGATGTGTTGAAAACCTGTTACTTGTTACACCCCCTTGGCAGCAACTATAGCCACATACAGTAGGTTTGGGAATAACTGACTATCAGATTTTACTTTGCTGATCAAATCCAGCTCTGATCTTTTAACTCTTCTTTCTAAGAAATGGCATAAACAGAAGAAGGATGAGATGTCTTTGTGGCAGTTAAACCCAAACCTAAGAGGTTTTTAAAAAAGCTGAAAAACTTTCTGAAACTGCCTCTGCAGCTAAGCCCCAACATAATTACCATAAGCTCTTACCAGTAAGAGTGTCTCTAAAATATGGCTTATTGAAGACACCCTCTCTTGACAGAACGTCTGTCTGAAACCTTCAAGTTGACTCGATGACAAATCTCTTAAGAGCGCTTCAAAGCCACCAGCCAGCTGTCGCTTGAAATATTAAAAACCTCGAGAGTGATGGCGGCGAACACACAGAAACCTGCACTTACGTTGAGTCCTTTCTGAAACAAGGGCTGTCCCATTACGTTCGCCAGCATCCGGATCAGCGCTGCCCCCTACAGATGGCACAGAGAATTAAAAAAAGGGGTTCTTTGTTCATTTCAATCCATTTCAACATTTTCAGACATTTTGATTTCACTCACAACCAGGTTTTTAGAAACGCAACTGGTTAGAAACTTAGGTTAAAGTCGCTCACCTTTTTGTAGGCGATCCAGTCAAAGACCCGGTCGATGTCTGTCGCCTCTTCCACCTCCTGAGAGATGGGATGAGAGGAACTCAGTCCATCCAGCAGCATCACCTCATGGAGGACATCGGTGAGGAAGCGCTGCTTCTCCTGGAAACACAAGGAACAACCTTTGCATATTCAGAGCTGAACGAGACATTTGAAGGTTAAGAGTCAATTTATGTCCCATTATCCATCTTCACCATATACTTTAAACTCAGCCTGAATCAATGAACTCCCACTATTAGAAGCCATGGTGTTGATCACACATTGCTCAGACCTTCTTTGTCCACTTTAGCTCATTTGCTGGTGAAGACTCTCACTCATCCAGATTATAATCAGGAATCTTTCTCAATTCAAAAGGTCTGGATTAGCACCAATCCAGACATTTTTTAATTGGAAAAATCTTCCTGGATGGGAAGGGAAACGTCTTCAAACTTGGAAAACAAAGTCCAGTGGATTGTTTTTAAACTTTAACTTTTTTTGGCTTGACTCATTGGGTCAAAAATCATCATCCTAAAAAATTCTTAAAGGTACATAGTCACGTTATATGACACAAACTCTGGTCTGGTTACATACAAGTATTTTTTCTGAAAGATAACCACTTCCTGCAGACATGATGTTTTTTGCTTTTTTTTTTTTTTTTTTGCTCAAATTATAAGTAAATAAAGTTTTGAGGGAAATTTAAAAAGACAACCGAGGTAAGATACCAGGCATGCAGGGTTTAGACAAGGAAATACTGCGGCTAAGCAAGTTTGAACCCAGAAGCCGAGTTGCAAATTCAATTAAAGAAAAAATCCAAGATCCAGTGTCACAAAAAAGGAAAAATTCATATTTGATTTGAATTAGGATAAGACTGGAATAGTGCTGGCATAATAATATAAATGTTGGCGTTCACTAGGGATTGGTGAGAAAAATGTCCTGATTATTACAAATAGTTCTTGGTGGGATTTTTTTTTTTGTCTTTTGAGGCCTTTGATGAGACTTTGCATCTGTAAAAAAAATATTTTATTACTTCTGTTATTGGACAGTTTTGTTAATATGAAAATTACGCATACTTCCAGGTACTTTGAGTTTTTCATTTAACTTTGTATGTCGTTTTTTACTGTGAGCTTGAATTATTGTTTTGTGTTTCCTTTTAAGATCTACACTGTTAGAAGTTTTTCTTAAAGTTATAAGTGTTACCTTAAAAACTTGATGTCATCATTTTTGCCAGTTATAATTTAGCTTTTTGTGTCTTTATATGTTAATTTTTTCTTGTGGACATTAGTTGAGTGATTTCTCTCGCTCTCTGGTTTTATTAATTAGTTACTTTTCTCCAAATTCATCTCAGTTAAGTTTCTTTCATGCCTCTTTTCCTTTATTAGATTTTTCCAGCAGTTTTGCTTTAGGTTTATTATGGTTTTGATTCTCTGCAATAAGTCCAACTACATTCGGCTGCTTCTTGTTTGCCACTAATTATCCACTCAGTTCTCCTGTGTTCAGTCTTTGCTTGGCTCATGTTCTACTAATTACAAATTTTTATAGTCTCCTAAAAAATCTTTTACCACTTTTTCCTTCAAGGAGCTGTTGCAAGGAGGTGTAACAGCGACTAAAAATTCCCCATAGACCTCCTAAAACCATCTCATGTCCCTGAACTCTTCTTAAAATGTAAACAAACCCGAAAAACCTGCCTGGCCTGGTGTCATTGGCTGAATTAGATTTCAGAGCTGAGTCCTCCGAAGGCCTGATTTGTAGGCCGATTAAGTCATAGCGTGCCGCCAAGGTCTGTTTGGATTGCAAGACTCCTCGTTATGCAGCCTACAAATGCGTCCTTTTTTTGCCCGATTTGAAGGATGGGTCCAGTGTATCCTATCTATCCTTGGATATCCCAGGATTCATTGCGAGACCAAGCAAGCCAGCTGCTTCATGATTAGAGGAAAAAGGTACTTCACCCTGAACAGTGATGAATATTGGAAGTTCAGTTTAATATAATACAAGAATGTTAATAGTTCTGTCTGAAACGAATGAAAATATATATTTTTTAATGGCTATTGAGTCAGATATGTGGCGGTAATGTTATCTAAAGCAGGCATTCCCAAACTCGGTCCTCAAGGCCCGCTGTCCTGCAGGTTTTAGAGGTTTCCTTGCTCCAGCACAGCTGATTTTAATTGAAAGCTAATTAACAGGCTTTTGGTCTACTGCAATCATTATAATCAGCTGTGCTGAAGCAGAGAAACCTCTAAAACCTGCAGGACAGGGGGCCTTGAGGACCGAGTTTGGGAATGCCTGATCTAAAGGTTTTTATCTGTTATTGTGTAAATAGGTTTGGCTGTAATTTAAGGACAGATTCTAATAGATCTGCAGTGTGGAGACTATAATATGATTTCAATTTTTTTATTGCTATTTTGCACAATTTGCTTAACTAAGCATTTTTTGTTGTTGAATATAAGACATTTTGCAGATATATTTTTTTACATACATTCTTTAGACTAACTTATATCTTTCTACCCCTTTTATATCGTTACATTTCCCGGTGGTTGTCAACTTTATTCCACTCTGGATTTCTGCATTCTCATGAGTGTAGTCTTAGTTCACTTAAACAAAACAAAAAAAAAGATAAAAAGAAACAGTTCTGAAAAGTTTGATAATCATTATTTCACTGCTTTGTATGTCAAACTCTGAAACTCTGTCACTGTTGCTAAGCGACAGAGCATATGAAACTAGGTAGGTCAAACTAGTCTGTTCATCCCTAATTTCAGTCTCTCGTCTGACTTTTTCCGGGTTAAATTCCCATTCCATACAAAGAAAGATTGATGTTTCAGTCCAAGTTCGTTTCCATGGTAATTCTGAGAATCGAATCCTGTATTTGCCTCCATGAAATGATGGAAGTTTGGAAGCAGAAGCCAAATTAATTTAATCGGTTTCAATGAATCTCTGTAGGACTATAGGAACAGCCTGATCTGACTAATGCCTGGATTTTCTAAATGTTTAAACAGGAGATAGATTTGCTCCTCTGCTTCTGGCTGATTATTTCACCCGTTATGTTCATTGGCACAAACACACAAAGCAAACACGCAGTGGAGGGATTCCCCACAAATCACACAATTAGCTAATTGGTTAATTTCACATTGGGTTGAAATTAGAAACACTTTTGGAGGAATAGAAAAAGAATCAGAGTAAATGAGATGTCAGCTCTAATTAACAAAGACTTTATATCACCTGGAGTGGTGGGAACGGGGGGTCCATCTGCGTTATAATGACCAGATGGACTTAAACCAGGCCGCTGCAGAGACACAGATGCCGGGTCGGGGCTGCGTTCAGAGACTTTAAACCGTCTGCTGATCCTCCATCATTTCCAGAGTGTCACTCCTCCTCTCCACCTGTTCTCCTCCTCCTCTGACATGCAGCTATTTAAACTGGTTTGGGAACAGATCGCTCTCTGTACGACGCAGCCACACTAATTATAACCCCAGGTTAACAGAGATGTTGAGCTATTTCAGCAGCGGGAGACTGAAGACACTCTGATTTCTGTTTTTGAGTCAAACGTTTGCATGTTTCTGAAGATGGTGGACTTTACAGCTGAGATAGTTCACTTTCCTAACTTCCATCCAAATGTAATAAAGGTCAATATAAAATGAGAAAACATCTTCAGAAACAAAGCTCTTTGTCCCCGAGTTCATTTACAAACTAAAACCAATTATTTTGGTATTATTACCATTTCTTTTTCTAGAAAGAAGCTTTTTCTTCCAAAGTTGTGAGGATTTTTTTTCTTTGTGGATGATGACACTTTTTTACCTTCAGTTTCCAAACCAAAAGTTAATCTCTGGGACATAGAAAATGTCTCCTTTCTGCAAGAAAGCCCACATCTCACCTAGAGACGAATGGTGGAAGTTTACATTCTCATCCCTCCCAGTTCACGAACCCGGATTTCTCTAAATATTAAACTGGCTCTTTTATTGTTTTCCTTTTAATTCCTGGTTAAGAATATGGAGTAATATTTCAATTTAACTAATAAACAATGCCAACAATTGATATTACATTTATACGAAGGTTTTTATATATATATATATATATATATATATATATATATATATATATATATATAAAAGCCTTGTCTTATTTATCAGTCAGTCAGCACATTTTTCAATGTAAAATTAATTTTGTTCCAATTTTATTGTCTTGTAACGAAAGCAAAACTGTGTTATGAATATTAGTCGTTTTAACCGAATATTGATTAAAGCAAATATTAATTAGTAGCAGCCTTAGTTTTACTAACGAGGATTTCTCCAAATCTTCTCGGTTCAGCCTTTAATTAATGAAAGATAACTTAGAAAGAAAAAGAAATAAACAGATTTTAAAGACAAACTGTCCTAGAGGGATTTTTGTCCATCAATATCCTGCTGCTGTTTGGGGACATATTTGTTTTAAATTAAAGCATCTGTCCGAGTGGAAGTGGACGAGCAGGGATTTAAAACTCAGCAGCAGCAGCAGGCGGCTGTGTGCCTGCAGCAGATAAGGTGTTTCAGTCCAACACATTCAGAGCTGGAAGTAAATAACACTCCACTTCAGCTGAAACAAAGGTGTCTGTTTGCTGTAATTTAAAGTTGTGCAGCGTTCACAGATGAAGATGGTTTTAACCAGATCTGCTTCATCCCAGGAGGGAGGCGAGGGGGGCGAATCTGTAGCGAATCTGATGAGGAATTAATTTCTAATTTAGCCGCGTTTTTGTCCCATTATTCTCTGCACATTTATTTGCCAACATGAGAGAAAACAATAGAACAGAAGCGCTGCAGCCTCACAGCTGAATATTATCTGCTGAGCAGCAGGAACACAGCTTGAGGAAGAGGAGGGAGCAGATATTGATCCAGGGCTGAGGAGGGAGCTGGAGCAGTTCAGGAGCGCAGCTTCACCTCTTACCTTGTATTTTAAATCAAGTCGCATTTTAAACAGAAATGGTCGAGAGGAAAATCTGAATTTTTTATGCTGCACATTGTAGAATATGTTACCGTCTTTCCAGTTTAGTCATCCCAGAAGGTTTCTGACCCTACATGCTTATTGAATTCAGGTGAAGTTTATTTATTCCATGAATACAATTTTTTTAAAGATTATTGAAAAAACATTCAAATAATTCTATTTCTAAAAAAAAGCACTTTAATCCTTTAAAATGAATCTAATCATATGCAGAAACAAACAAAGAAAACATGTATTTAAAATATTTTAAAGCATTATATATTGTTCAGCTATGACAAAATAAAATACTACAGAATGATATAAAAAAAAAAACGTTTAAGGTCTTTAAAGGTGTCTTGCAGTAGATGTTGGATAATGTGAATATTTTCCTACATATTTAAAACCCAAAACTTTTGTTCTCCTGTTTTAATATTTTTTTTTTCTTTTCAGGGGTCATTTACACCTCTGCTTTGGTTTCATGATGATCCTGCAAATTTAAATATATTCAACAATCCTTAAGGGACTGGAAAGAATGATAGACAATCCACCGACATTTGCTTTTGGTGAAAACAAAATGAATATTTAATTATGCTATTTGGAAATTCAAATCTTGGACTGACAAAAGATTAATATTTAATAAAAAAGGAAAGATTTTAAATAATGAAAACCGTTTCACCAATCCTTTAGACGGCCGGATGAAAAGGGCAAAGTATGAAAACAGGAACAACTGTTTATAATAATGATCTTTCAACTGCAATAAATGTTGAATGAAACCATGAAAAGAAAAACAAAATTCTTTCTTTTTAAAGAAAGTAAAATTATGCACTTGAAAATGAGGAATATTGATGGGTGAGGTGGATATGAGAGCTCTGACATCCCTGATCCATTCCACTCACCATGTTCCACTTTGGGAAGAGGAAGTCTGTTCCAACGTACTCGAAGAAATGAGCAAAGCCTTCCTTTAACCAGACATCCTCCCACCAGACCGGAGTCACCAGATCGCCAAACCACTAAAAGAAAAACAAAACAAAGGAAAAAAAGGATTTGTTAGGATTTGAACATGTCGTATTTAAATAAATACTGTAACTTCGTAAATTAAGATTTTAAAACATCAGCTTTAATATTAAATGAAAAGCATTGTTAGAGTTAGAGTCCGCATTATGCTAGTCATGTTAGATTGGTGAAAAATTCACAGAATATGTCAGTAAGCATCATAATTACCAAGCTCTACTTAGCCTACTAAGCCAGCATGAATAGCAGTAGCCTCGTGAGACGATCCTGATCTCGCAAGCTTTCAAGGTTTCATTCGCAGATCAGTCTGGCTACTTTCTGTTAAAGAAAATTTGGAGCCGTTCACCAAACGAACGTCCAATCAGCGTTGGCTTTGAGGCGGGTTGAGGTGTGACGCAACGAGAAGCGCGACAGTTCAGTCTAAAGAAAATGGTGGCTTCAGCCAATGAAACTAGCGTTAGCGTGGCTATCGAGCAAGTTTTATCGGAATTACAGAGTATTTCTTCACTGAAAGAAGAGCAAAACACTGCTCTGGAGGCTTTTCTCAGAGGAAAAGATGTTTTTGCTCTTCTCCCGACTGGTTTCGGCAAGAGTTTGATCTATCAATTGGCTTCCTAAATTTACTTCAGCGGAAGGCTCCGCAAATCCATCTGGCGAAGTCAGGTTAGTATAGCAGAGGAAGAGGACAAACTTGGGATTGCTGAGTACAGGTGATTGCTGGTTATAGCCTGCTGGAACTGCACTTTCTACCACACAGCTCTAGAGAAACCCTTAGCTAAAAGTAGTATACTTGAAGTAAATTCTATCAAGAATACTTAAGTATAAGTTTAGAAAGTATACCGAACAATGTACTTTTAGTGTACTTGAAGTATTACTAAAGTAATACTTCTTCAAACTAAATTGGGACATTTTTAAGTTTACTAAAGCATACTTAAAGTATGCTTTAGTAAACAATAAAGTAAACAATAGTAGAGTCAAGTTCACTTGACTCTACTATTGTTAAGTATATGAAATATAGTTTATAATAAGTAAACTCTAAGTGCTTTGCTTGATTTTAAGTATGAAATTAGTGCACTTTTAGTATACTTGAATAGGGCTGGGCGATTATTCAATAACGATATATATCGATCGATAGACGTGTGGCTCAATAGAAAAAAAGAGTTGATAAAAGTTCGATAAAGAAACGCAGTTTTCCTTCCTTCTCATTGTAGCCTAGCATGTAGGTTTATGCTAGTCACTACTTCCTCCCAATCAATCACAATCGCGGACCCAGGCACGCCGTCACCAAGCGCCGCCCTCTCAAACCACAACACAGAGCACATGAAGATGTCGCAGCAAGGAGAGGCGGAGGAAATTGTTTCAAAAAAGGGTTTTTGTAGTTCGGCAGTCTGGCAGTATTTCGGTCATGGCAAGTCGGACAAAAAACAAACCACAGTCATCTGTAAAATGTGTCGGGAACCAGTGAAAACGAAGTCTGATAACACAACCAACTTTTTTTTTTTTTTATCATCTCAGCCGCTCACACCCGCAGGAGTAAGAGCTGTGTAGGCCCCGGCGCGGCTCTCCTCCGAGGAATCTTCGGGAATTTCGGGAAAATATATATATATTTTCAGTTCTGGGCAGTTTCCATTTATTTATTTGTTATATTTATTTTGGTCACTTTTCTCGTCACTTTAGTTTATTCTTTGTCAGTATTTAATAACATAACTCAGGTCTCTTAAGTTATTTTTCTTTAAAACAATTCTGTTATGGTTGAAAAAGTTGGTTAAATAAAGATTTAATTTGAAGTCTGCTTTTGTGTTTTTTACTAAAATTAAATCATTTAGCAATATTATAAAAAGTCCAGGCAGAGCTGCACATAAAATATGGTTTCAAATCTTTTCAATAATTATCGATATCGATTAATATGCATTTTTTTTAATCGATAAGCTTTTTTTCTATATCGCCCAGCCCTATAGGCTACTTGAATAAACTACTTTTTGCTAAGGGAAGGCCAGACCCACAGCTACAGATCCCACTAACCAGGGGAAGCACCATCTCTCCAATTTCCACCAAAAACATGACATATATATTTATATTGTCAATTTGCAACGATGGGTGTCAATGAGTTAATATCACCACTTTTGCATTTTAATAACAGAAACCCCCAGTAGTATTCAAATAGGAAATGTAACAAGCGCAGGCATAACCAAGAAGAAGATTAGTGTGGGAATGAATAAAGAGATCAATTGAGCAAGAAGCCCAGTTATGACAACAGCAATCCTCTACTCCAGGGAGCTTCAACGTTTTCCAGGCCAAGGAACCCCAAACTTATGGTGAGATGGAGCGGGGACCCCCTAATTATATATATTGTATGAAATTGAGTAATATCAAAGTGGTCCTATGGTCACTCTATTACGTATGGAGTAATGTAAGGAAAGTAATTTTGCCCTGGGATTATTAAAGTATTTCTGATTCCTGGTTGATGGGACAGGTGTTGTGAATGAAATGGTGCCCAGCTTGAAAGAGCTCCTGTGTGTCGCTGAATGTGAGCATTGATGACTGAAAGTGATGGAAAATTACATTGGGACCAAGAAGCACTTAGCAACAACACTGTCAAGGAACGCTATGGACAGCAGAAACATGCAAAAAGAGGAGAGTTTAGTGTCGGAGGTCATGCTGAGTCTCCTCCGTCATACATTTTTTATTTAGAGGAGGAAAGCGGGGACGAAGATGTTGTGGAAGAGGACGCCAGGGCGGCAGAAGCTTGGTTTGGTGTAGAAGGCTTCCAGCCGTACATGTTTGAGCCCTTGCCTCTCAACGCTGCCAGTTCTGTTAGCTCTACGCCTGCCGAAGACACAGACGTCCATCCCCGTGAACACTGGGACGGAACTCAATGGGAAAGGAAATGATTCTTATTCCTTATTTCAACCTTTGCTGCGACGTATGAATGAATCAATCAATTTGACCGAAAAAAATTGATTGACAGACGACCGTTGAAATGCAATTGGCCATATTTAGGTGTTCAAGCTGACGAATAACTAACCCCTTGAACCCTACGGACCCACCGGCGGGTCCAGCTGCTACATGACTTCGTAATGTTACCAAACCCCCAGTATTGATGTAAAAAACATATTTGGCACAGTTTGGTGACATTTATGGATAAATGTGCCAAAATGGCCTCTCCGCCTAAGAAATTTCTCACTAATACCATTCTAAAATAAATATGATTCATCTGATTGAGTCCAAGTTTGGTATATCTTTACACAACATTTAGATTTGAAAGTCTGTACTACTTTTTTGTGCTATAAATAATATTTTGGTAGTGTTTTGCAATGTTTATTTCAAAGAAAATTTTGGCGAGGTTCAAAAAATGCAAAATATTTTGTATTTTGTCCCTAATATTTCAGGCAGGGTCAAAGCTACAATGGTGCTGACACCAGAAAACCATTTTATGACATCTTACCCTTACAGACATACCAAAAGTTTTTTCTTAAATCTAATAGCTTTGAGGCTATAAGTTATTTACTTTTGTGTGTTTTTGTCAGGCAGAAATTTATTTATACCCCCTTAGGGTGTAAGAGGCTAACTGGCCTGCAGAAGATAACACAAAAAACCCCCCACAGATTTTAAGACAGGATTTTTTTCTTTTTTAAATAGAAGTGTTCTAAATTTTGGGGCAACATCTGATAAAGAGTACATTTATATACATGTTTAAGACAGAATGATTTGACCCTGAGCCCTGTTTGAGCAAACCAGCAGAGAAGTTTAATAAAACTCATTGAACTTTGCATCCATGAGAAGAATACGCACAGATCTATTGTTTACAGCCAGTACTGCCTGAATCTAATGTTTGTGTTGATGGCAAACCACAATGACCTCTCTGTCTTCAGGAAGGGCAGCCTGCAGGTTTTGGTTCAGGTGTCTTTCTGCTGCAGCACTCGGACCCCAACTGAGCAGGAATATGCCCTGTTTGCATAATTTTGTCTGGTTTTGAAAGAGATTTAAATTCAAGTCGCAGATCAACCGAAGCTCTTGGAGCAAATCATTTCAAGCTGAATTTGTTCTTAAGTCAAAGGAGGGCCACTCATCTTTCGTTTTAAAAGAAAAACCAACAGTGTTTGTGCAGCAGCGGGGGCGAGAGCAACCACTTCAGTGGAGTGCAGTCAGCTGTGAGGCTCAGAATAAAACCAGCGGCTGTGAAGATGCTTTATGTTTTCGAGATGATTGTTTACGCAGAAACAACATGAATAAGGCAGCGCTGTTTACATGTAAAGCAACTCAAACATGTTCAATTACACAGAAACCAAAACTGGCAGAGCTCAGGCACTGGCTCCAGTGGATTTCTGTATTTTACCTTTTTAATTAAATTGTGATCATTTAAATTTATTATTATTTTTTTATAAATGTAGGTCTCCTTTTATGTAATCTATTTCATTGTTCCGTTATGTTTCGTTTAAAATGTTAGAAATGCAACTTTCTGTTATATTCCTTAATTGTTTTTATTTTATGTACTTTCTTAGATAGGTGATGGCAATATCTTTGTACCCTGTTTATTGATGCATTTAGCTTCAGACCAATAAAAAATGGTAATGGAAAAACATTATGATCTGAGAAAGTACAGTCTTTTATTCCCCTTTTTTGTTTTGTATTTAAACTTAATTTACATTTTAAGAAAAAGTATTAGTAAGAAGTACAGCTTGCACAGTAAACATCATCACCTACACGCCTCAATACAGACATTACAGGACATGTTTCATTAGTTTGATGGAGAATTCAACATCAACAAAACAAAAACAAGCCATCAACACATCTTCATCATACTTAAGTTCTCTCATCTTCTTTGGGATCTGTTCATGGTCCAACAAACGAACCGTAACATAGATTCAAATACAGAATCTGAGCATATATTTCAAAACATGCAGAGCAGATGGGTCAAACAATCCATGGTAGCATCATCTATGCAATGATTAGATTTACCATCCCAGAGTTTTTGTTGCTTGGAGATCAAGTGGCAACA